TATATATGCTCAATATATAAATTCAATTTCAATTATATATAATCAATAATTTCAATTGTCTATAAAGTTATTGCCTTCTTGGTGACAACCCATTTCAGCCCCTATAACTTGTAGATGAAATCAAAATCTGAAAAAAATTTAACTAAGCACAAGCAGAGTGTTGCTCCAAGTTTATATAAAATTTTTTATTTCATTGTGCTGAATAATTTGGCAAATATTTCTAAGTCAGTGAAAACTTCCACAGATGGTGCTGATTGCTGCAGCAGTTTTTCACTGAACATCTACATGATGATCTACTAATCTCTGAACCATGACTGGATTTTTTTTGGCCAACATTTTATGGATTTGCAAGCCATGATTTCATTTCCCTGAGTTGTGAATATCATATCCTGGCCATGAAAAGACATTTATGAGCAGCAAACTCATTTGCAAAGTCCTGTGCACGTGATACTCCAAATATCTAATTTTACTTTGGGAACAGGAATATTTGTCTTTCCTTTAGAGGCAACTGAACACATTATAATGTATTGCCATCCTGAGAAATGTTATAGCAGAGGCTTTAAAGCGCAAATCTGAGCCTGTCAACGTCAAGAGCTTTATATGCTTCAGGCGATAACAGGCTAGAAACAGGAATGCAATGTGAGGAACCAGGAGTCCAGGAGCCACCCTGAGTCTGTCTAGTCACCAGGCAAAGTGAGCTCAGAGTGGAAATAGGCTACAGGATATTTTGGTAGGAGTGTGGTACTGAATTAGCAGAAATTGAAAATTTAATGAAATGACAAGTTTGTGGACCACAATTTCTTCAATAAAAATCATCTCTTCATGATCCTTTCAATTTCTTGAAATTAAATGATATTAGAGCTGCAATATTTCAGAAAAAAGTAGGACTTTTCCTAACTAGAGGAAGGGGTAAAACTTTAGATTAAGTGCATCCAAAAAAAGGGTGTTTTTTTCTTTTAATTATATGTTTTTTTGGGGTGTAGATAAAGAATCTGAAATCCGTTTTTGGCGGTCGGCATCGGAAAACCAATTTTTTTCCCCCGAGGCTCTAATTAGTAAAAAAAAATTGGGCAAAAATTGGCAAAATCGGCAAAAAAAACCTAACCTAACCTAACCGTGGTTTCAATGTCATGGTTGCCTGCAATGTCGTGGTTGCAAGAGCCAAGAGTATATGGGTCACCAAGGCTAAGTTAAAAACGCTATAAATCCACGGATATTGGGGCCAAGATTTAACTTTCATTTTATCTTAGAAAATATATAAAAAATTGAAAAAAATTGGTTTTCCAATGCTGACCGGCAACTGCCAAAAACTGATTTCAGATTCCTAATCTATACCCCAAAACCATATAATTAAAAAAAAAACTTTTTTTTTTGATGCACTTAATCTAAAGTAATACCAAGGAAGGAGAAGCACCAATTGTATACACTGGCTTGGATTATCCGATTATGATTAGGTAGTCCATTGCATTCTTTTGAATTGAAATGACAAACAAAAAATTCAAATAACAACATTTTGTGATACACAATTGCAGAAGTACAACATTCAATTGAATCAAATATTTCTAGAATTATTGTGGTAATAATCAGGTCACTTCAGGAGTTCAGGTGAATGGTGATTGAACCTTTCAAATAGTTATTCTAACCATTATTAGGCCTATTACTATTACTATATATGGTTTTTATTTAAGAGCAGAAGGTTAAGTCAACTTAAGTACAGTAGCTGCTAATTTGCTATTGCCTGCTAAGTGGGAAGTTATGTAGTCTTGACACTGCCAGTACTCAGTAGTGCTAAATCACTGCTAATTGATAATGTATGTTAATAAGTTAAGTAATTAAGGGAAGAATACACTCACAAATTGGAATGGTAGACGCTATGAAGGCGTTCAAATAAAACATGAGTGAAGTCTTCTTGGAGATATTTCTACTGAAATCTTCTAGAAGAAGCTCTTCTTCCTTAGTAAACTTTGAACTTTTGACCATTGTTGCGTTTTTTCGTACGAGTGTTTAAAGAGAATGACCGGCTGCGTTTAAGAGTTACGACTGGAGCAGATAACAGTTCGTGCCAGCTCTCCTCGCAAACGCTACTCAGTAACTGAGTTTATAGCAAAAACGTTCCAGCAATATAATATAGTTGTAGTCCATACTTTAAACACAATATTATTTTGTAATTTAATATTTTTCAATATGTCACAAACATAATTATTCACACTAAATATTGAGAATTTTCCCTTATCATCACTTAAATGATGCGAAAATTTTTATTTAAGAGTACTAATTTTCAACGAAAGTTCCAACGCGACTCAAACGTAAACACAGCCCTCATATGTGATATCTTGAACACCGAAATTTCATCTTAAAATGCAATTTAACCAATTTGCATCAAAGCATATTTGCTGACGGCTGCCGAAAATTTACGTTACGTAATTACGTTGTTATCACACCATTAATCATCGTAATTCTAACTCCTCTAACAATTGAGTTTATTATACGTGAATTACACTGGTGTACATAATTGTTTGGAATTCAGACCATGGGGAAGGGTAAGTTGGTGAAATTATTTTCGCTATAATTGGCGCAGATTTTTACCTGCCATGTGGGAGTATAAATGTTAATAATTAAACTAACTGAAAATGGTCTTACTTAAGAATTGTGTCAGCGGTTCAGTGCAGCTTTCCACGACCACTTCATTCAACTCGATCGACACATTATGAGCTCGTAAGAATTGATCGAGTGTTATTAAGTGTGCAACTGATTAAAATGACGACGCAAAAATAAATTTAGGTCGCAAGAGTTATGCATCTTGTGTCATGAATATTGCCGACTAACTTTGCATCAAAGTCAGTAGTTTAAATTTCTTTGAATGAAGAACGGTCACTTGCTGCTTCAATTTCAGGTCAGGCAAACTTCTCAAAGGTTGTTTTATTCCTGTAAATATTAAAAAAAAATTAATTTAATTTCTAATTAAAATTAATTTAATTTCTAATTAGACTGTGTTCAGTTCTATGGGTTGTTTTCACGTGTAAGCATTGTGCAGATGCTGTCTACTACTTGTATAGACATTCAAGTTTTCGCATCACGAATAGAAAACCCGCGCTTTCTTATTTCTCGCTTGATGATAAACATATTTAGAACTATTTAATCAATGTTGTTATTAATATCAAGCATGGAGCGTATCGTGTGATGAAATCGGTATTTTAAATTTTTGCATAATTTAACCCGCACATACACGTATCTAAAATTTCAAATCAGTTCTTCTGCACAACGCTCAGGAATGACTGAGAGGCAAATGTCGGTTCCTGAATCTGGATTAGAGCAATAACCGCTAATAAATTTTCAGTTTCCATAGAGTTTATTCAACCTAGCATTGGTATTTGCCTAAATAAAGAGTCCCGTTGAAATGTTTCACGTGAGTAAAAAACATTCGAATTTTGAAGTCGAGAAATAGCACTGTAGGTATTTTACTTCATATCTCTATTCAATAAGCATCAAATAGAGGCATCTTAGCAACTTTGCCATAAAATGTTTGCTGTAAAACGTCAAATGATGCATCATCCATGACGAGGAACGACATATAAATATTCTAAATCACCCAAATTAATTTTATGTCGCCCTTGTGCCATCATCAATGTTCACTTGACGTGTTCTTTTGCGCCATTGCCAATGTTCCGTAACTGATGCAGATAGATCATCAATATCAGAAATAAATTCGATCAAATATTTAGGGATTGATATCTAATATTTATTTAAATTTAATTTTTTCCGCCTTATACGCGTTGAAATCACTCTAAATATGAAGCCTGAAATCATGTATTTTATTTTGTAAACACGTCAGACAGTTTTGGAGTGGTCCCGAATCAGGAAGACATGTTTGGCTGTACTCCCGAACACGTCAAACCTGTTTGGGAGCATTAGCTCACTCGCATCCATTTAGGTCCACATTAACAGCTAAATTCCATTATTCATTTTGTGGCCGCAATTACAGTCCCTCCCAATCCCATCCGACATACACTGCCCTTTTCAAGAGCTGGAACTTGACTGATCCAAGTAATGATGCACTCATTAAAATACCTGCAAAATTATATTATGCAGTGGATTAAACTCCACAGTCTAAGTTAGAATTCGTTTTCCTTCGTAATCCCTGTTACACCCAGCTATAAAGTTTAGCAAACCCTTATTTTACTCCTATTTCTAACGCGTAATCCCTGCAATACTCTTTTATACAGTCTATCATAATGTACAAGCTTTCTACTATTAATGATTCATCACCCCCGCCTCGTATCAGAGCCTAATGCACGCTCGGGGAATTTATTGTTTAGCGTAGTAATTATTTTCTATGCAGCGGTCCACCAGATTTCAGTGGTATACTTCTCTAATTCATCTCACTGACGGCAATGGGCTGATTGAGGTCGTGAGAATTGCAGCGTTTTATTGACACACTAATTCACTAACAAAATGTGTGAACGGATACAGTTGCAAGATAAAGGAAACATGGATCACGTGCATCAACGTAAAATTATTGGTCAAAGGTAGCTCCAATAGAATGTTATTGCAATATGGATCACAGTTCCCCCAGCTGGACTCAATTGGAGAGATGACGGATGACCGAGATCATGGGTCCGTTTAAATGTTATAGACTTATTCTTCGTTACCATCCAGGCTTCATTTTACAACACTTCTCTTTAACTTCACTTCTTGTTTGTCTGTCTGTTACAAATCTTATAATCGAAATTTAATCCACTTCTACTTATCCTATCGATCTGAAATTTTGCACACTTGTGTAAAGTTGGAGACAATGCATGAATCAAATGTCAAAATAAATGATTTTAAAAAATTATTTTTTTTTTCAATATTAAAAAATTGAAAAAATATTTTGTCAGCTACAAATCTTATAACTGATATTTGACACACTTTTACCTGTCTAATTGATCTGAAATTTTGCACACTTGTGTGAAATCAGAGACAATGCATGAATCAATTAACAGAATAAATCATTTTGAAAAAAATTTATATATTAAAAAAATTTATATATTACAAAAAATTTAAAAATTAATTTTTTTAATATTCGAAAATTAAATGAGAAATTCATTTTACATCTGTAAGATTGGAGATACTGGATTCTTTGGAAGTGTTGTCTTTAAAAAGTAATTTTTAAACGTATATTATTTCTACTAACATTCGTTTAGCCCCAGTACAAACCTGTATGTTCATTTGATCAGAAGGAAACCTTTTTCAAGCGTTGTTGTTGACAGTTGAGGTGACTTACACGTTTCCAAATATTGCGACAGATTTTCATTAATCCGCCGTCGGTTCCGTGGCCGTTTCCCAATTGTCCGCATGTCAATGCAAATTTCGGCCGATTGTAAATGGCCTAGAAACAATGTACCAGTGACTTGTTTTAAAAATCAAATATACTGATACTGATACATAGCAATGGCGCTTCCACAAACAGAATCAAAGATTGCGAAGGTTCCAAAATATTTACCAGGATTGCCGATTCCTTACTGAAACAAAATTTCAATAGTAAGAAGGTTTAAATATTTGTAGATATCCGTAGTGGAAAGTTGTATGTGAAAATAAATTACGAGGCGAGCGAAACAAAGCGAAAAACAAAGAGGCAGCATGCTTGGAATATTTTGATTACATTTTCAATGATAATTTCTAATTTATTGCAAAATATCACGAAAAAAAATTAATGCTAAATGGTTACATAATTACACAGGCAATAAATGTTATGGATAATACGAGAAAATGATGTCTTTATTGTGAGAAATACTAATATTTCCATGTGAATCTTTATGACAGTTATTGTAGCAGAAGGGCAGACAAAGCCAGGCACATCAGAGGTGCCGGCGTGGAGGAGGCGCAAATTCCGTCCACGAAATTGATCCTGTAAAGGGAAACAGGCTATCAATCCCCGTCTAATTTGCATAATTGGTATTTGGCACTTTACCGGGAAGAAATAGCCGATCGAATTTTTTATTTTACAAACAGTTCAACCAAAGCAATTCCTTCTCAGTCGATATGGCTTGACCTGCAGTTGGTCATGGAGCATCAAGTCTCTGGGTCAGTCGGTAGCTACACTCCTCGAATTATCTGTATTTGTTACTATATGTATTTATCCGTTAATGCCTGATAATCATATATATTAGTATTGCAAATCTATTCACACAATCCTTTGGTCATGTATATGATTGACGCAGATTTTGCCGGCAGAAAGGTTGCATATATAATTATTTACAGCGGCAGAATTTTCAGTCATCGGCCTGTATCAACTCATCTGACTACTGGCGGGTAAGAGATTTTATTTCTTCAAGAGAATTTTTAGAAGCACGGGCTAAATTATCAATACAAGATGAAGACATAACTTGTCCACTTATTTATTGCATTCGTCTACTGCATGTCCATCATATCAGTTACCAGGAACAATAAAACTCATCTATGCCAATATTATTTTCAATATATTTTGAACCGCACCACGTATCTAATACCATTATATTCAGAGCAATTGCAACTCGTTTCTATTAGCAGATGAATGTCGCAAATGAACTTGGGCTTAGGAATTTATATGATTTATACTTATTACTGACTGAACTTATAGGCTGCGATTGTTAACGCATTTAAGCTACAAATATCTGAAATGGACTAAGATTTTCACTTAACCTGAAAAAGTTCTTCGCAGAGCATCAAGTCCTATGACCTATGCACTATAAATTAATATTTGTAATGGAAACAAGACAACACGGAATTAACATGATGGTTGGAAACTACAGTGACATAGATCGTTGTTAGCAGTATTGTTGAGGCTCTCTCATGCAAGGCGGCGCACTACTATGATATTGGCAATAGGTATCCGTCAACATCGGCTCCTTGAACTGTTTACAATCCGCTATCAAATAAGAGCTTCGTTGCATGTAAACAGTGCGAGGTGAACCAAAAATAACTAATGATTTTAGCCGTATTTACGAGTCATCAGCGCTCCGAACTAATCCATTTTTTACTTAATCCAAAAAGCAATATGTAGATTGGTGGTTAAGAGTAGCAAGATGGGAACTGTATAAGGTGCGGGCTCAAGCAGGCTATGAAAATTCTAGGATGTTTGGAGTCG